CGGGGCGCGCGCGCGGTGGCGCGCGGCGGGCGCGAGTCATCAATTATGCAAGGACTCTGGCAGCGCGGGGGGCGGGCGCGGGGAGCGCTCCAAGATGGCGCCCACCGCAGTCCCGCCCGCCGCAGCCCCGGCGCCTTTGCAGTCCGGCCGCGCCTCCCGGGCCCCGCGTTAGGGCCGCCGCTGCCTCCCTCGCCGCCGTCGCTGCCGTAAGTCGCCCCAGAGCCCCCGTCCTGGCGCTGTTTCCAGCCCGCAGGGTTTCCCTTCTCGCCTTGGGACCCTTGAACGGGGCTCGCCCATCTCCAGTCAGGGGCTTTGCCGCAGAGTGCGCGGCGGGGCTCGAGGGGCCGTGGAGCTGGGGTTCTGCCCTCCTTGTTTTGGACAGCTGTTTGGAAGTCTTGCTTCCTTCTACCGTGTGTACCGCGGGTCTCTTAGGAGAACTGAGGACCACCAGCCCCGACGCCGGGCACCCTGCCCTCTGCGTCTGGGCTACAGTGAGGGACACGGCTCGCCCTTGGTGCCCCTTCCATGGTGCAGCCCCTCCACCCCTCCCCCAGTGCCAGGGCAGAGTTGGGGCCCTTAGCCGGCTTGCACTGGGAAGGGCAGCGCTGTCGGGATCTTCCTACAGCAGCCCCTCTTCTCCTCCCCTCCCCCATGTCTTACTGCATCCTTCTCCCTCACTGGCTTCACATTGCTACCAACTCCAGAAGCCAAGGGCTCCTGGGTTCTTCCGGCAGCCAGCACTCCCGACTCCCGCTGTCCTTTACTGGGATGCGTTCGTTCTCCTCCCAACAGGGTGCTCTGGGGTTGTGTTGGGGGCTCCCGGGACCTTCCTCGGCAGGCTAGGATTCCTGCATTTGGGAGCATATCACTTTGAGAATACCCCCTTCCCCCACCCCACCCCCATCCCTACGCCACCCGATGCAGAGCTTGTTCCTCTCCTCTCCCTCCCCCACCTTACCATCAGCAGCAGCACCCTTGGCTTCTTGTTAGCGTTGGGGTACAGGACTGTTTGCCCAGCTCCTTGGGCTTGGACCCTCCTCTCTAGTTCTCACTTGGTACCTTGGGGCACCGCAAAGCCTCTGCATTTCTCCGGAGAGCTCGGCTCCATCCCCTCCGTTGCCAGCAGCAACCACCAGTGGAGACTTGCCGTTAACTTTCCCGGGGTTAGCCAGGACTGTCAGACCCTTTCAGGGGCCCCAGCTTCGAGTTGGGATGGAGTGGGAACCATTTTTCAGCCAGATAAATAGGATTCTTCATGCATTCCATCCGACTACTCCACCCTGTGCCCTCTTCCTCACTTACACTGCAGTTTTTGAAGCATGGGGGAATACATTTTATATCCGGAGATTCCAAGATTTCGCATCAGCGTTCATAATAAATGGATGTCATCTGTTTGGGGGAAGGGTAGAAGAAACTTTGGATTGCATCTGGCTAAATTTAGGGGGAGGGAGAAATAATTAGCATGGAGCAAGCTCTGCCACACGAGGAAAACTGCTTTTCATGCACAGTGGGCACTAGAGAGTCAGGGATGGAAGCAGGAAGTGTGGGTGGGGGCATTGGGGGTAAAGGGGGAAAGTGGTTTTTATACCTGGTTTCTCAAGTTTGAACCTGGAGAGCCTTTAGAGAGAGGTAGAAGTGTGTTAGGGCTGGGGGGTGTTTTAGCTTTCCAATGGAGATTTCGGGTGTGGTAGGTTTTTCACTGTCTCAAAATCCCTCTGTACTTCTCTTTTCTCCACGTGCATTAGAAGATGTGAAGGGGGGGTGTGCTTTTCTTCGTTTCTCAAAAAAAATTTTTTTTTGATTTGTAATGCAAATGGCTGAATAACATTACCACGCGGTACCGTCCTGGTAGAAATCTTGGGGGAATCAGACTTAAAATGCTGAATGCTTTGTAGCACATTACATATAACCTGGTTCTTGAAATACTGCAGCATTTTTCTTTGGAACTCATGACCCATAAGGCCTTCATTTCTCTCTGAAAGAGGATTTGATTGCTGGTTGGTGGGGTGGTGGTTGTGGGTAGCGATCCTTTGGTGTTCAGCACGCATTCCCTGTCCTAGAAATTGAGGTCCTCCCTGGAGAGGACTGTAAGCATGTTCTGTGTTCTCTGAACATCTGATTCAGGGTATATGCAAATGTTTTTCTGAGTAGAGCTGGTGGTGGGTATTGCAAAGTAGTTCATAATGATGCAGGTCAGTTGTTGGTTTCTTGGGTTCGATTTGAGCAGCTTTGGTTTTCATATAGGGTTTTGTCAACTTTTATCAAAACCTTTGGAGTGTTTTATTGTAAATTAATAAAGGATAATCAGGTGGAATACAGCGTCCTTAAAAACAACCATACGGTTGCTGTTGCTTTCCTTGTAGGACCCTTATCAAACCTTTCTCCTGGTCCAGCTTTGGGTTGCCTGTGTTTAGGCTTGTACTCGGGTTTCTTGCTGTGGTGCTGAAGGGACAGTTCCCTGACCAGTCCGGCAGCGGAGTGCACACACACGCTGGACATGATTGGGTTTTTCTTTGCTTTTTATTATCAGCAGGCTTTCCCGTGGATGTGTATGTACATGCGCAGCTGGGTTTGTACTTGAGGTTGAAGGCCTAGTTATCATATTTTATTACTCCCACATAACTCTTCATTTTGGCTGTCCCTCATGGAGACAATGTTTTACAGGCTGCAACAGATCCATATGTAAGCCATAAGTGACATTTTGCTGACTGCATTATTTCAGCACACTTAAGTCATTTCAAATAGCAAGCAACTGTTAATATTCTTGCTTTCCACAAGAAGTAATCTGATAGCTGGCAAAATTAAACTGGATCAGAAGAGCATCTTCTCTGGGTTGATTTGAATAGTGAACTGGGAAAGGCACTTGACACAGCAGAGGCCAGTGTGTAATTCACAGTATTACTAAAGTAAATTTGTCCAAAAAACTATTTTAAAATCATAAAATAGGAAGAAGGCCGTAAAATTCACCTTGTACCGCCTCCCACCCAATACGGGATTCTCCTTTATGGGAGGTCTTTGCTTTGAATACATCCATTGGTAGGGAACTTACTGCTACATAATGTAGCTCATTCCATTTGGATTCTACTGTGATCGAGGTATTTTAATCTTATTGAAAAGGTAACATACATAAAGTTGAAAGACATATAAATTGGGGCTATATCAGGGGCAAATGCCATTCTTGTGCTTATTTCCAAGAAAAGATTGAGAATCATTGTTCCATAGAGAATATATAAGAAACTTGGACTTACTTGAAAAGAATGCAAAAATAGAGACATGTCCACCTAACGCAAGAAAAACATTCTGTGAATGGAAAGAAAAATAATTATGTTTAATGTGCTGGCATTATGTAACAAATTGTTCTAGAAGGCACATGCTTGAGTTAATGAATATTCAATTCCTATGGATTATATCTAAGGATAATAAAGCTACACTATATAGCAAGTGTTAAAAATCCAAAGTTTATCCAGAGTTTGATCAGTTACCATAATTATAAAAACACAAACTTATTGCAGAAAAATTGTAATGTATGTAAAAACAGAGGGAAAAAGTCATCCTTAGTCTTACCATTCTTACCATCTTTGCTTTTACCATAAGCAAAACAATTATCTGTGTTTTATTATGTTTTTCCAGTCTTTTTTTTCCCCATAGAGAGGGAAAGAAGCACTTGTAAAGTTATCCAGAATGACAGTATTTTAAAACTGAGCCCTTTAAGCTCTCAATTTTATAATTCTCAAGCTAGTCAATTAGGGTCTTAAACAGATTGTCGCATTTCAATTTACATTTTTCTTAATCCTTTAGAAATTTTCCCCCAAAAAAATTTAATGTGAAAGAATTCACTCGTAGAATTGGAGTGCCATTAAAGTCTCTTTGTTTACATTTAGAACATTAACTGTGGAATAAAGAAACCTTTTCTTAATCAATGAATCAACAAGTAGTGTTCACTCTGCACCTACTATGTATAAGGCACCGTACTGGACACTAGTACAATGCTTCTCTAAGCTGGTGTGCACCAGCTTAAAATATAATACTGTGCTCAAAAACTGTGGCTGTTAAGGTGTCGAAGGAAACAGAACTTTTGCTATATAAGTTTATTACTTGCTGAAATGTATGGCAGTTTGTTAGGGCCAGCCAAGTGATTTAACCTAAAAAAGAGTAGTTTGTGCAAGAATGAGAAGTAAATGCAGGCAAAGAAAAGACAAAGGAGGTTTCTGGGGAAATTATCCCTTTGTGAAGTTATAGAGACACAGCCAGGACACATATTTAAGTACTGTGTTAGAGATTAAGGTGAAATGAAAACCCAAGAAGGTTGCTATAGTTACATCATTGAGAAGAAAATGTCAGAAGCAATATGGGCTTTGGAGTCAGACAAAACTAGATTCAAATCCCAACTCTGCAACGTATTAGTTTTGTGACCTTGGGCAAGTTATTTAATCTATTGGAGCTTCAGTGTTCCTCTCTATAAAAGTAGGAATAATAATACCTACGTGGCAGGGTGTTTATGGGGATTAAATGAACTCTCTATTTCCT